AAAATATAATATATAAAATTTATATATAAATAAATTTTTACTCATATGAGTATACTAAAAATCAAAATGTCTTGCCATTAAAAATAGTAAGATGTTCCACATCGTGGTCATTAAAAATAGTAAGATGTTCAACATCATGATATTTCTAATTCTAGAATATCCTTATTTTCGTATATATATTAGGTGGCTTGGTTTCTCTTCACCAGTCAAGCCTCTTCCATCCATTTTAAGCCTCTTCCATCCATTTTGGCTGTTGAAAGCTCTTTGTATCAGAGATTTTATCTGGGGCTAAACAGTACCGTCTTCATGTCCTGGAGTACAAATCAACAAGTAAACTTCTATATTTTGTCAAAAAAATTCTACTACTTTCTTTGTATTTATTTGTATACTGTGTATGTAACTATGTATGGTTTTCAATTAGAGCCGGCGGTAAATTATATACAGATCGAATTGCTTCCTATCTTGATCAAGAGTTTATCTGGTTTAAACTCTTGAGTTTCTGGTTAAAAATATTTTTCCTCAGGAATGTTATTGCTTAACAATTTTTTCATTCGTTTTGCACTATCTTAACTCTTATCTTTTAGCATCCATTATATATCTCATTGTTAACAAATTAAGTTTTCTATATTTAGGAGATGATGCAAATAAAAAACACTGTTGAGATTCGTATAGATGGCAGGATGCAGAGCCTTCCTGCCGGACCTTTGTCATGGCCCAAAATTTTTCGAGTGCCTCATTATATACGCAAGCTAAATGAAGCAGCCTACGAACCTAGAATCATTTCTATTGGTCCTTATCATCGGCGGAAAAAACATTTAAAGCCAATGGAAATGCACAAATCGCGTTTTTTAAATGATCTTCTTCGACGATTTAACGACAGTAATGCTAAAGGATTAATTGTGGGGGTCATGACAGATATGTTGAAAGACGCTCGTAACTGTTATGAGAAATCTTTGGTTATTTCCAATGAAGAATTGTTGGAAATGATGGTTCTTGATGGATGTTTTATTGCCGAGCTAATTCACAAATTTGCTAACGGAAGTTTGTGGAGTGACCCTATCTTTAATGTGGATCAGATTATCGGAGCCATTTTTAAAGATTTAACACTAGTTGAGAATCAACTTCCCTTTTCTGTACTATGGAAGTTATTTGGCAAGATTAAGGAAGATCCAAGCCGATGCATTTTTGCTATTTTAAAGATGTTTGAAGGAAACATGCCAGGGCTCCGGGCTTCTGAAGGAAATAGCTATAATGAAAATTCAATGAAAGACGTAAAGCATCTGGTAGACTTATTACGCACCAATTGGCTTCCTTCTGAGAATTTCATGCGTGAATACGAGGAAGTGACAGAAGATGGTGAGTGGTCTTTCATACGTTCTGCCACTGAACTGAGAGAGGCAGGAATCAAGTTCAAGAAGGTTAAGGTTGAGGGGGGCAGCTTGTTTGATATAAAGTTTGCAAATGGGAAACTTTACATTCCAGTTGTGACAATTGATGACGATGCTGAGAGATTGCTTCGTAATATCATTGCCTGCGAACAGTTTGACTACAGTGGATCTCCACAGTACTTAACTGAATATAGAAAAGTCATGGATTGTCTCATCAACACAGGGAAGGATGTGGAGTTACTTTGTCGCAAACGGATAATTGATAACTGGTTGGGCACTGACGAAGCAGTTGCCGAACTGTTCAATACGCTCGGAAAAGTCATGCTCTCCAGAAGGAACTTCTTTTATGCCAAGTTATTTAATGATGTCAACAGCCATTACTACAAACCTTGGCACAAAAGAATGGCAAGCTTAAGGCACAATTATTTCAACACACCATGGGCGTTGATCTCCTTTATTGCTGCAGCTTTCTTGCTTCTGCTTACCCTGCTGCAAACAACATTCACAATTTTCCCCCGGTCTTGAAAGTTCCAGAAACCTTTAGTATGGAGGGAACGGCGTGGATCAGCAGATAGGACCAAGATGTGTGAAAAGTTAAAAGTGTAAGAGTACATGCATATACTGGTTTGAAATGTTTTCATGTGGATCCTTTTGTTTGTGTAATTTTCATTTTGCATCTTGCTCCCCGTGTTTTGTTACTTGTTTGTTTGGGTTTCTTTTAGGCTTCTAAATTGTCAAGTTGGTCTCATTGGAATTTTGTTATATTGTTAAATTTGTTGTCCTTGCTAAGAAATTAATATAAAAAAAAATTAGCATGAAAAGTTATTAAGTGAATTTAATATAAGAAAAGTTGTAAGAAAATTTTTTTCTTTCAAAAGAAGTTTTGAAAAACTTTATAAGTTGAGAATTGTTTTTTAATACTAACCTTCTGGTATCCAGAAATCACATTGGGTCCTGATTAATCTGGAATTGAGCCGGGTCGGACCCCATATGAGGGGAAGTTCTCCAAGCATCTGTTTTTCCATTCACAAGACTCGAACTTGAGATCTTACTTAAGGGGAACCGATCTCCTTCCACTCGGACCAACAGGTTGTTGGTAGTTGAGAATTGTTTTAAGGAAAATAAAAATTAAAAATATCTCTATTGTCTTTTATTTATTGTAATTTTGAGATGTATAAATACCAAAATATCTTTACAAAATTCTAAAGAAGGTATTTACTGAGAAAGTAGACCAAATATACTCCCTAAGTGTAGTTTATGAGTTTATATCTTAATACTTTGTTTAGTATGCTTATGGTTTTGAGTTTTAGGTTTTAGTTTTCAAAAATTTACAAACCCTAAGGTACAATTAAGTACTTCTATAAATTAAATAAGTTTAGAGTTTTGTATATGTGGGGCGGAGTACCTTTTGTGCTCAATATAATAAATTTTATTTATTTGTTGATAAAATAAATTAAGTTTAGAGTTTTGGATGTTTATTTTAAAGTTTTATACACAATAAGTTGACAATTTTAATTTTTAATTTTAGTTTTTAATTGTCAATTTTGATTATTTAAATTTTAAAAACTAAAATAAAAAACTCAAAACCATAATCATATTAAATGATGCTTTAATAAATAAGTTGGAAGGGAAAAAAAGTGCCTTAACAAATACGGTGGAAGGAAAAAAAAAAAAAAAGGGAAAACCAGAAGAGAAACTAGGTTTCAAGGGCAGATTTAGTAGTTTCACCTCTAGTATTTACACCATATTTGACAACTTTATTAATGATGGCATGTGTCCCTAATAGAGATCCAATAGTCCATACAATTGGAATTCAAAAGATGATTAATGGTTATGATTTGGTGCAACACAATCCTCAATAAAGAGAAATTTTGGCGCAATGAATGTCTGTCACAAGACAAATATCGAAAGGGGGAGTTTAGTTGTTCCATAAAATCAAGTTACAAATATGGTGCAGAATAGTTCAACTTAGTTGAGAAAAATCAAAAATGATTTTAACAAGCCTGATTTTGGAGATTTCTACCAATCAAAATTTTGTTTCCGACAACTAAAGGATGCATGGTAAAAATCTATTTTGCAAAGAAGGATTTAAAGCTATTGAAATTCTTTTGATTTAGTCAAGCTTGATAGCACAAAAGTTTGAGAAAATTATATGGTCTGACCAAATTTCTAACAACTCCAGTTATGGAGACTTATAAATACATAATTTTAAGATAAAGTTAACAAAGGTTGCCCCCCTCAACATCCACATTTCAACATGTCTTAGTTTCGTGCTAGTTTAGTTCATAAATATCTCATATAGTGACTTTGGAATTTCTTGTTGGTGTAGAAGAGATTCAACTCCTTCAATGAGATTTTTGTTTTTATAGTTTTTGATTAAGTTAACCCATAGCAATTAAATTTAATATAGTTGTTTTGCTTTAACCAACCAACTTCATATTTTTGCCAATAATTTACAATTTTGTTTGATTGCTTAGATTTAATTTCTATTTTGTTAATAAATTTATGTTTCGACCTCTAGTTGTAATTTTTCTTATGATTTCAAGTAAGAATCTTAGTTTCATTTTATTTCTATTAATAGCTAATTTTTTATATTTTTGTCAATACTCTTAATTTTTAATTTTAACTAAGTTTTAATATTTCTATCATATTCTTTAATTTAATGTTCTCTCATTACCTTAGTTTTAAATCATCTTTTATTTTTGTTACACACTCTTTCTCTCTTTTTCTTATTTCTACTTATTTTGTTTAATAAACTAATTTCCTTGTGGCTCTAGACGTGGGGGTGTCCCTAATATTCTTATAGGGCAACTATTTTTAACCTTCAAGCAAGAATGCACTTCCATTTCTACTACAATCATCAAATCAAAAAATTATTGACACAATCATTTAATTAAATTTTTTTCATTTATTTTTAAATAAATTCTTATGCTCGAAAGAAATGAGAGCTATCAAAAATTCTTCTTTCTTGCATTGAGTAAAATAAATAGCACACTTGAAAACTTCTGTCACAGGCAGGCAAAAAGAGAGGATTTGGAGGAAACACCTAGTTAAACCAATAAAATTGTACCAACACGCCGATCAAAAACAATTGCACCCACGCATTCGTCCTCCTTCGCCCCAATTTGCAATTTCTTTCGGCTTAACAGCACCGTTCAATTATCCGAGTCCTACCGATTCAATTTCTCGGAGGTTTAAAAAAGAAAAATTCAAGTCCTGCCAAAGACTTTGGAGTCAACTGTCTCTTTGAAGAGCTGAAAAGTTTTGATTGAATGCCCCACCTGCTCACGGGCTCTGCAAATCTGGAGTCTCCACAAGTTTTTCGTTTTTTTATTTTTTATCAAATACAGCCAAATATATCGTTGTCAGTACGAGACTAAATAATGGAGCCGTAGGTCCAGCTTTCTGATAAATATAAACCACTTTTATTTTATTTTTCTGTATCATACGCAGTATGATTGAGGCCATCGTGGTTGTCGTCTCATGATAGAATAATTGTGCTACATGAAATACTAAATACAATATATATTGATTCAATTAATTAATTTTATCAAATTTATAATTAAATTAAAATTAAGAGAGGATGACTAAGAAAAAATATAAATAAAAATATTAGTTTTAATTTTTTATTTAAAAATTAATTAAATAATAATATTAAAGTGATAAATAAAATTTTTAATTAAAATATTAAAAATTGGTATTTTTAAATAAAAAAATAAAAATTAATTTTTTAGTTAAAAATTAATAAAATTAATATTTTTAAATATAAAAATATATAAAGTTATTTTCTTGGGGGTTAAAAAAAAATGGACAGTCCTGCCCAAGAATTTGGAGTCAACTGTCTCTGTGAAGAGCTGAAAAGTCTTGCTTAAATGCCCCACCCGCTCTGCAAATCTGAAGTCTCCACATGTTTTTTGTTTTTTTATCAAAAACAGCCAAATATATTGTTGTCGGTACGGGACTAAATAATGGAGCCGTGGGTCCAGCTTCCTAATAAATGTAAACCACTGTTATTTTACTTCTGTGTATTGCAATGTGCGACATGATTGAGGCCATCGTGGCTGTCGTCACATGATATAATAATTATGTTGCACGAAGTATTATATATGTATTTATTTAATGAGATTTTTTTTTATTTTAATTACAAGATAATTATTTTTATTTTATTTTTATTTTATTTTACTTGCATGAGATTTTTTATTTTATGTCATTAAGACACACGAAAAATATATATTTAATTTTTATAATTAATATATATAAATAATAAAAATTAATTTAAAATTAATTAATTAATTAATTAAAACTATTTTCATGATAATAATATTAAAATAAATATAAATTTTTATTTTTTTGTAAATTAATTTTAAAAAGATATATTAATTATATCTTAATATATACTCTTCAAACACAAATTAAATAAATTTTTATTTAATTAATTAATTTTATTCCATTTATATTTAAATTGGAGTTAAGGGAGGATGACTAAAACATAGAACTAGAAGTTATGGTGATTAGCAAGAACTACCTTATTATCTTTGCTTTTCCCAAAAAAAAAAAAAACCTAGTATTACCATGTTTGTCTTGTTACGAGAAAATTAATATAGGTAAGAATACTCATTTGTATTCACCATGTTCTGCATTCGTCAAAAAATTTTACTACTTTCTTTATATTTTATTTATACATGTGTAAACCACGTATGGTTTTCAATTGATCTGGCCGATTATTGATTGATTCCTATCTTGAATTTTTTATTAAATTAATTTTTTTTCTCAAGAATGTTAATGTTGTTGAGTAAAAAAATTTTATATAAAAAATATAATAAAAAACATGAATTAAATATTAAAAAAATTATTTCACTTATTGTCAACTGATTTTAATTTAAATATAAATTTTATATTAAAAATCACAAAATTAATTTTCACAAATGTTATACCCTTAACACTTTTAAAAATATATATTATATATATTTTATATGAAAGCTTACCTTAACTTTTTATCTCCTTTGGCATCCATAATATTATCTCATTGTCAACAAATTAAGTTTTGCCCTAGTTTAATTCATAAATAATTCATACAATGACTTTGAAATTTCTTGTTGGTGTAAAAAATGTTCGACTCCCTCAATCGAAATTTTTGTTTTTGTAGTTTTTGGTTAAGTTAGCTCTAACAATTAAATTTAATATAGTTGTTATTCTTTAACCAATAAACTTCATATTTTTTAATAATTTACATTTTTATTTGATTGCTTAGATTTAGTTTCTACTTTGTTAATAAATTTATATTTCAACTTTTAGTTGTAATTTTCCTTAAGATTTCAAGTAAGAATTTCAGTTTCATTTCATTTTTGTTAATAGTTAGTTATTTACATTTTTGCTAGTTTCGATTTATATTTTTACCAATAATCTTAGTCTCTAATTTTAACTAAATTTTAATATTTTTATTATATTTTTTAATTTAATATTCTCTCGTTACTTTAATTTTAAATCATCATTTATTTTTGTCACATACTCTTTCTTCTTTTTCTTTTATTTTATTTAATAAACTAATTTTGTTGTGACTCTAAATGTGGGGTGTCCTAGTATTCTTGCATGACAACAAATTTTGAACCTTTTTGCAGGCGTTTCTACGACAATCATTACATCAAGGAATTGTTGGCACAATTATTTAATCAAATAATATTTTTTTATTAATTTTTAAATAAATTCGTACATTTAAAAAAAGTGAGAGTTATCAAAAATTCTACCTTATTATTTTGAGTAAAATAAATAGCACACTTAAAAACTTTTGTCACAAGCAGCGAAAAAAAGAGGATTTGGAGGAAACACCTAGTTAAACCAATAAAATTGTACCAACACGCCGATCAAAAACAATTGCACCTACGCATTCGTCCTCCTTCGCCCCAGTTTGCAATTTCATTCAGCTTAACAGCACCGTTCAATTATTCGACTCCTACCAATTCAATTCCTCTGAGGTTAAAAAAACAAAAAAAAAAAAATTCAAGTCCCGCCAAAGACTTTGGGGTCAACTGTCTCTTTGAAGAGCTGAAAAGTCTCGATTAAATGCCCCACCCGTTCACGGGCTTGGCAAATCTGGAGTCTCCACAACCACAAGTTTTTCGTTTTTTGTTTTCAACCAAAGACAGCCTTCATATCGTTGTCAGTACGAGCCTAAATAATGGAGCCATAGGTCCAACTTTCTGATAAATATAAACCACTTTTATTTTATTTTTCTGTATTGAGATGCGCATGTGATTGAGGCCATCTTGGTTGTCGTCTCATGATATAATAATTGGGCTACATGAAATATTAAATATTAAATATATATTTACTCAATTAATTAATTTTATCAAATTTATAATTAAATTA